ATTTATAAGGATAATGAAGTTATTTCTTGGAATTAGCAACCAAAAATAAAACAACTTTATTGCTTACATCTTCAGGTAATAAAGATAGAGTAACACATACTAAGACTATCTTAGTTTATCAGCCTGAAGATGGAGTAACACTCCGAAAAGTTGTAAACAATAAAGTTGTTTTATTTTTAAGCATTTGTGGTCGATGTTCATTCCGAGAAATAATACAAAATGAGGCTTAGAGACAGTTCAATACTAAAATTATTAAAGAATCATGAAGTTGTTATATATAAAATGTTATATCTATAAATATATAAACTGTACAATCCACAATAAACTAAGAAAAACCCACTCATCTGCAATAATTGTATCTAATGCTGGTTGTTTAAAGACAACTTTGGGTAGGGTAAAGGAAGCTCTTTATATCCTAACTCACAAAAAGACAATGACGCACGCGTGCCAAATGCATATCATATAGTTTGCGTGGTATCTATATACACATTTGAAAAGTTTTATGCAATTCTATGTAGGTTCCATGGCACTTTTTAACATACATTTTTGTGAAAGTTTTGTACGTTTTGATTAGGTCGTTCAAAGTGAAACTAATATACGTCAAACGAATCCAAAACGTTAACTTATACCGTAAAAACAATGAAGTTGCACTATATTCTTTTACGTCCCACGCACGTATTTTCATCCCACAAAATGACACAACAAAAGCTGATATATTTAACGACAGGTGTTTTGTCTCGAAAAGGAATGGAATGTTTCAAGTCGAATATTCTTACGCATATATTTGGTAAACAGGTACATGGTCATAGAAACTATAAACACCACTAAAAAGTCAATAAAGTTTTCCAATATTAAAAATGTGGTAAACAGCAAATTTTATTTAGGGCTTCGTAGGTTCGATTCTCGCTACGGACTTGTGTGAAAAGTGTCCCACAGGGAAAGTTAACAGGGTGGGTTAAGGTCCGCTGTTTTGGTTTAGGTACATTTGCACTTTTGTTTATTTCAAAACTTTGAAAACTAAACTTCAATTGATCGAGACATGAATTGTGAAAAACTTTCTTCATGTTTCTAAACAGGCTGTTGGAAAGAGAAAGGGAAGAGAAGGTTCAAAATTTTGAAGACCGGCCCCTCATGAGCGACACCATGCACAACTACCAAAGTTAGTTTTGTTTATAAAGATGCCACAAAACTCATTCATTAGCTTTGAACTAAGGTTTGTTGATGAACTTTTAATCGGAATATTGATCATGCAGGAAGCTGTAACGTTCCAAATTCTCCACCCACCCACCCATTGAACTGACTGGAATGGAACGTAATATATATGTGGCCGAGCCAAGGTGACATAAACAAATGTCTCGGTCAATATTTCTAGAGCTTTTTCTTATTTTGGGCATGACGTGTATAAGTCTCTGTTTATTTTGCTTTCATGGTAAAGCACCATAAAAAATTTCAATTAGGGTGTAAGAAAGTTCTTGCATCTAGTAGCATTCCAGAGATAATGAAACACTGGACAGGTGGGCAGTGGGTCTTACGGTTTTGAAAGTTAAGTTTATTCTTGTAAGAACTGTAAGAGGCCTCTGGTTCTTTGAACTAATATTGTGTAAAGATAAGAGATTGCAACTGCATGGGTGGAGTGTTGGTAATATCTCAAATATGTGAAGTATTTGTTCAGCGAGTACTATAACTAAACGAAACTAACCTTATTTAATATTTACACACACACATAGCTCTGTTAATTATGTTTAAAATCTGTTTTCTTTATAAGTCCAGCATGCAAGGACCACCCCTGCACTTTATTGATTGTAGTTAGCACTGTCACTTCTAAAGTAAAGTATTCTTCCTGGAGGTCAAGTGAGTCATGTCGTATTTTTCCAGTGTTATACTACAGGAGGAAACCTAAACAAAGTTTATTGCTACTGGATAGCTCTATCAGTTCTGAACTGTTCTTCCTAGTGGTCCAATACGAGTCATTCCCTATTGATCCATGCAGTGTTACTACAGCAGGAAACCTAAACTAATTATATTTCTACTGAATAGATCTATCAGTTCTAAACTGTTCTTCCTAGTGGTGCAATACGAGTCATTCCCTATTGATCCAGTGTTACTACAGGAGGAAACCTAAACTAATTATATTTCTACTGAATAGATCTATCAGTTCTGAACTGTTCTTCCTAGTGGTCCAATACAAGTCATTCCCTATTGATCCAGTGTTACTGCAGGAGGAACCAAAATTAACTTTAGCCCTATCAATTTTAAACTGTCTTCCTGGAGGTGCAGTAAGGGTTATTCCCTGTGGATCCAGTGTTACTGCAGGAGGAAACCGAAGTACTTGGAGAAAACCTGTGGTGTTTAGCAGAGTCAAACTGGAAACACTCTTCTCACATATGAAATTATAATCACACAACTACATATTGCATAAATCAAACATAATCGCGGAGGTAAAGGGCACACACACCAACGACTGTTGCACTCAGCAGTAAAATCTACATGCACATAAGGGATTCTTCCAAATGTAAGGGGATACCCATCATTACAATTTACTCTGTACTACGAAATGCCATTATATTGTGAAATACTTGTGGAATCTCAGTTTCTATATTAACTGACAAGATTTAAATTTATTTTATTTTCACTGTTCCCACATGGACAGATTCTTTCGCATGGAGGACCAAATCTATCAAAGGTAGGGGAACATGTCAGTATACCCTTGAAGATCCCGACTGTTCGGTAAAAAAATTCTAAATTTTGAACATGCAGATGATTGAACAGATTGTTGAGTTTTTTTTTTAAACTGGACTCAATGGTTGGAGCCGCTGATCCGATCCTGCGTATAACATTTTTGAGTAAAAACGACCATCCTGTAAAAATCATTAATGTATGATATATCAGTTTTAATGTTTCCCTGGAGAACGGATGTTTTGAACCGCTTGTGATGAAACAGGCAAAAGTATTCTTTTACTGACTCTTTTAAGACGTTAAACTGTCTTCAGACAGAAAGAAATGCCCACGTATTCTTCGTCGTGCAATATTACCGGTTGCAAGACTCTCTGATGTGGCCTAAAAGATACTCAGGAAAATGCTTAATGATGACAAGCTACGTACGTTTCTACATTTAAACCTTGAGGAATGCAATTTCTACGTTCTTCTATAATTATTTTGTTTAATTGTATCCGCCTGAAAGTGATCATGATTATTTTTATATATACTTATTTGGGAATGAATTAGCAATAAATCGTATGAAAACTACGTAAAATATGCTTGATTAAAGTTACGTTAAGTTCCGTTTAAGAGCCTTGCTTCAAGGAAAAATTGAATCTTGTAGAATGCATTAGAAAAGTCTTTCACCATATACTGTCAACTTAAAGAACTATATTTTCCGTATAGTACTGGTTTACACTATCAAAGTTTCTGTGATGACATTAGGAATTTTGCATGGGTAAAGTTTTGAAGAATTTGTAAGAAATGTTTGAGGGAACTGACTTATTGTTTAACACTTGAGTCTGTTCCCTCAAACATCTCTTACAAATCCTTCAAAACTTAGAATTTACCCATGCAAAATTCCTCCTGTCATCACAGAAATCAACCAGCCTTTAGAAAAATCTATCACCATTCTGTCAACTTGAACGACTATATTTTTTTTCTGTAAAAGCATTGGACTAACAATGGTCTATACCTATATAGCTTAATATACAGTGCAGATAAATTATCTTATCAAGGCCACTTGTCGATTCGAGAGATCATGAATTCTGCTTTACCAAACAAGAATGACATAAAATAAAAAAGGGGACCTTCAAAGCAACGAAGGACCTTAAATTTTCTTAATACAAGAGTGCTTAACTGAGAATATTAATCCTATAGCTACGTTAGTGCTGGATAATATGCAATATTAAAAGTTTCATATATTGTAAAACACTGCTTCTCCCCTTTTACAATTATGACGTCATAGGGCCCTTTGAAAAGTTTTGCCCCAAGCCCCACGTAACCTCTTGGCGGCCCTGCTTCTAAGGAGAACAGTTTATGGAACTGCATGGTAGAGCTATCCAGTAGGAAATAAAGTTTCTTCTATAGTAACATGTATTCGGGCAACATATATATATATGAGATATCCGTTATTGGACCTCTATAGAGAATATTTTTGAACCGCGAGTGGTCAACACGAGCATTTTAGATATGTTAAAACACGACTACAAGTGTTTCATATAGCTTCAAACACGACTACAATAGATGCCGTCTCATTAGTATTATTTATATTAATACTAAGTAGGATGGACTTTTATATAAAGAATACTATAATGAAGATGAGTTTTATCGGGTATAAAGCCTCTTCATGTGACATATTATGGTTGACATGATTTGCCAATAACCTTATGAATTATTAATGATGTTTGAAATAAAGTTTAGTTTAGGTGTCCTCTTGTAGTAGCATTGGATCAATAAGGGATGGAGCTTACCATAGACATTTAGGGGTAACAGGAAAGCTTGGGATTGATAGGGATACAACCACCTGAAAAATACAAGGAGAACTTCAACGTTCCGAGCGAAGGCCCTTCGTTGGGAAGTTGGGGCCGACGAATTTATAAATTTAGTGCCTTCGCTCGAAACATCGAAGTATGTAGTTGTATCCCTATCAATCCGAAACTTTCTTCAATTATTGGCTCTATATACCTACACTGGCACAAACCTTTCAAAATGATATCTTTAGGGGTGACAGTTTAGAACTATATAGAGCTGTGTACATGTCCAGTATAAATAGAATTAGTTTATATTTTTGTTAGTTTTTGTTGGTCGTTTGGTAACAATTTATGATTTAAATACAATGTTGTCAGGAAAGACATGTGCGGGTTTAGCTGTCATTGCAATAATTTTTCCTGAAAAGACAAATAGTTTGGTTTCCCAAATGTGCTAAAATGATCGGTCTCAGGCGAGAAAAATGTGTGGCATTCCCCGTAAATGCTATTACCAAGCAATGCAATAAACAAACATACAATTTATTTTTAAATGTTTTATTAGATGTGATGAAAGTATACGAATATAAACGATGTATTTACAATATCTGGTCAATGAAATATATATACATGTTCTTGTGATCAAACTACTCTATTTAAGGGATCATTGTGGCGACTTTTGGAATTCAGTTTAACCTCTTTCTTATGATCAATTTTTGTTCAAGTTTTGTTACAATTTATGCCTTCAAATAGACTCTTTACTAACTCATTCAATTGTCAAAGCTTGGTCATATCTAACAACTTGATGTGAACAGCCATTTACTGTCCAATTCACTCGCATGCAATATCTAAATGCTGAGCAGTGGTAACTAGGCATGCAAGTTATCTGAAAATGTGAATTGGATGACAAATGACATAATGCATGTTGGCTTACTAAGACTGAATTGAAATAGATTGTTACTGGAAATTATTTTCATTTTTTGTTTATTGGAATTATAAATTATAGCCACACAGAGCCCCTTTAGTATAAATAATGTTCTCTATATTATATAACAGTCACTAATTTAGAAAAAGTAGCCATACAGCCCCTTTCCTTATAGACATTGTTCATATTTTGTATGAATTAAATTACAGTGACTAAATTTGTATATTGATTCGAGAGTTCCGTGTTGGCCGTTGTATTCTGAGTGTGTTGAAGCGCTTCATTGCTCTGAAACGGATTTGACAAGGGTTGTGACAGAGTTTGACTGAATCTAGTGTCATCGTAACTATGATATCCCGATAGATAGTTCGTTAGCGCTGTCGTATCGTTGTTATTAAAGTTAGGTATTGGATAGGTGGGGAATATGGGGTTTGGAGTGGTGTCTATACCTCGAGAGTGGAGAAGGGTTAAGTTATACTCTGGTGATGGGGGTGGGGTTAATTTTGTGGGGTAAATTAGGTTTGTTTTTTCGTTCTCCATGTCGCTAAGAACCGACAGTATGTCTTCCAGCATTTCGTCTTGTCGAGGTTCGGGCTCCATTTTGACGACGGGCGCCTTCGGAACGCCATCGGAAAAGTTCGTGTTGATATGAAGCGATGAGTTGTACAGGACTCGTGACATGTCGGTATTTGTCGGGCGAGTATTCGTGTTCATGTTTGACAAATTCGTGGTAACGTTCGATTTGAGAAGTGTGAGTAGGTCGCGTTCCGAGACGATATTCTCGCTTTCATCCGTGCTACCTTTTCGTGACTTTCGTTTCGGTTGGAATTTGTACTCGGGGTAGTCGACTTTGTGTTGTTGGCGAAGTCTTTCAGCTTCCTCGATGAACGGCTGTTTTTCTTTCACATCTAACAAGCGCCAGAGTTTCCCCAGAGTTTTGCTGAGTTGAGCGTAGCTGAGGTTTGGATATTCTCGCGCGACCTTGCGTCTAGCGGCCTGGGCATAGATCATGAATGCATTCATCGGTCGTCGAATGTGTGACTTGTCTTTGCTTTTACGTCGCGAGCACGAAATCTTGATCCCAGAATCCGGTTGCCAGTCTGGTGTGTTGAAGATTCTGTTCACGGCACTGTCCATTGCGTTCGTAGTCTCGCCATTTTGAGTTCCTTCACCTTGAATGAAATAAAAAGCTATTTAGTGAGGATTTAAGTTGATGAACTGCGAAATAGGCAACGTTTGTTCATGCACCCAAAAAGTGCATAGTTATAAGGGGTCAGATTTATCGAGTTTCTCATCATTGGTGAGCAGATTTCCCAACAGGCTATAGCCCAGTTGAGATAGGGGACCCGAGGTACCGACGATTTAACGTCCTTATCCGAGAAGACGCGAAAGTCTAACCATGTACTGATGTCAATGTAAAGGTAGCACTTTCTTCTCAATTATTGTAAGACCTTGAGTAGAGGTCCGACCATTGAACCCAGCTCTCCCAGCTTGAAAGGCAGGCGTGGTGAGTAGGAAACAACAAGTGCTGGTTTTTAAAATTAGGACGAAGGTCCTTTTCGTCATCCCAGTCACGTATACGCTATCTTATTTCAAAAAACGAAAAGATTTAACGTTATTTTCTCACTTTGATAACTGCCTGCAGCTGCATATGTGTCGTTCGTGAACTATGCACTAAAGCTTGAAATTGTATTGATTGGCTAAGAAGGATTTTAGGAGTTTCCTCGGAGCGAAAGGAAATTAAACAGTTAATTAAACTCGCATATAAAATGGCAGCTTTTAATAAAATCTCTAAGGAATATTTCGTTGGTTGTTATGAGTCAGAAGAATAAGGGCATGTGCGTAAAAGGAATTACATGAATTATTAGGATTGGAGAATGAGTTGATATATACAAAATCAAAAATATGGGTGTGTTGTTATTATCACAACCGAGGGGATATGGACTTTGGAGCGAAAGCAATATTTCATTTTTGATCACGAATACCCTCAGGCGACTAAACCTAACACATAGCTGGTTTGTGTGCGCTATCTTCAGGTCAAAATGTTCTGGGATATTACGAGAGAAGCGTCTTCGACAGGACGTTGGATATTGTTAAATCTAGGAGTTAGACATGACTTTGCTGAACACGACCAATATAATTGACACTAATCACCAGTTACGCTATACTTGTTCTCAGTAGTTATTTGTGTAAGATTAAGTGGTTGGAAATTAGCAAGTCAATGTAGAAAAATTTACATCTAGAGACGGACATATAGCATTCTGTGAAGTGAAGCATTTTGTTCATGAGTTAAATGCACAAGTACTGTACAATTTGAGAAAATTTGGGTGATTCGGTTTATAAAAGGAATTTTAACATGGACATTGATGAGTCCCACGCAGGACTTGAACCCGTAACCCTGACGCTATGCCAAATGAGAGTCGATACGTTAATAACTTGTTTGTTTTGCTTGTACAAGCTGGGGAAAACTGTCTGAATCCCACACATGACTTGAAACCGTGAATGGTTGCTACCTTGACGCTCTGTCAGTTTCGTGGAGTCAGTGTCAGTAATGGAACTGGATGTCAAGCTGATGTTAATTCGGTAAATATGATTAAAACAACAAACAAGATTGAAGCATACCTTGTGAAGCGATGTCTTTCTTTGGTGCCATGATGTGATGCATAAGTTCTATACAACTTTGTAATTCTATACAGCGATTCGCAATGTATAACTTCAAAAAATCCAATGATTCCCAAGTGATGTGATGTCAACAGCTTCAAGAGAGAGAAAGTATACTCGTGCGCTCGTGTTCTGGCTTGGTTTTATAGCCTCTTCTTAAGAAAGACATTTCCGGAGGATGCTAGCGCAAAGAGTCAGAGACAAAAACGAAAGGAAATTCGAATCCTGCCAGCTGACGTCAGTGTGACGTCATGGATGGTTTATTGTCAGTGATTTTAGCAACAGTGACTTGAAAAACATGCCTTTGTTGGTAACTTCAAGTGACTTATTTAGCGGTATGTTGCTCGAATGTATTATCCTTCTCTAGGGCACAAACAAGTTTATCAATCTTGAATTTTTTGTCCCTGGTTTTACGGACTAGCAAACCAAAGGTTGCAGGTTCCATTCCCACCACGGTTAAGCAAACTTTTCAGCTTGCCCGGTGTGGACAGAATCAGAGACAACATCACAAACACATAAGCAAATCGATGGTCTTTGACTGTCTCTTGCGATTTTGAAAATCACATTTTTGCAGATGACTTAAATGGCTTATTTAAAAAAATGTTAGTTAATGTGGTATAATTTAGTTGAAAATGCTTGTTCTTTATGTGACATTGACACAAGTGGATTCCGGTTTTGCGAATATGCAAAAAATGTCACTGGCTTCAGATAGTGACTTTGAAGAACGTGCTTTTGTAGGCGACTTATAATGACTTATTTTGACTACAAATTATATGCAGCTGATAGAATGTGGTTAAAAATTAACCTATTCTTCTGTATGACATTCACCTAAGTACGTTCCGCCTGTACGAACCCAACTTACAAACAAATAACTCGATGACCACTCAAAACCAATGCTAAGGTCAGCTTGAAATTTAAAATAATATGTTTTTAGGTGTAATGTTTAGAAATTGATCTAACTAATAACAGGTTATATTGTTCAAAACAGCACGCGACCAGCGTTTTCGTGTCAGCAAGAACTATTATCCTGTCATAATTTTCCTAATGTGGGTTTAATTGAAACCCACGTATTTGGTATTGTTTTGGGGGGTCATAATTTGGTATCTAGGCATAAAATTTTGGTGGTATTTATATCGCACGTTTCTGGTGTAGTGTCACTCAGTTTTACAATTTCCGTCATAGACATGTGTCTACTCTATCCATTTGTCTCTCTTGTTCTATTCTTCTCTCCCTGTGGGAATGACACGAGTTAAATCATCTTAAATATTCACATTTGAGGTTCTCCAAAAATTTGGCTCACATTTCGTGAGGTTTGGTGAGATTTGATAACTCATTGTGTTTCATCTGATGCGTGACCTGATTAAATGGTAATATTTCCAGAGAAAAACTACAAATTCCATGAAGAAAGACGTCTTTCTCCCCAGCACACAAGCTTTTGACTATACAATGTTCTCACAGATATGAAAGAGAAGAATAATGAGCATATTTTACGTTGCAAGATGTCTTTGATCGTTCCTGACCTAAGCCGCTAGAATCTTTGCACCTTATAGTCAGCAACGAGCAATCTCGACAATTTGACTTTACTTTGCTAAGGATTATTTGCAAAGCTTACATTCACAACAGCATCCAATAGTTGTACCACAAAATTACGCTTTTAAGTGTAGATATTTTTGCATTATAGATTACACCATAAAAAATGCACTCGAGTGGCCACGAGTTCATCATTTTTTATCTCTTTTGTAAATCTTGTAAACTCTTTTTAAATCTTTGTAATTTGTTAAAGCACTCCATGTCTTGTTTTGGACCAATAGTAGCAACATGGCATATGCGAATATTCCTATGACTAATATAGATAGTACAGTGTGAAAGTTTAACATTGTCCCTGTAATTATCTCTGCATGGCGGAAGCCAATTTGCTCACCTTGAAACACACCAACTAAAAGATGGTTGACACTATCAAAGTTTCTGTGATCACAGAAGGAATTTAGCATCGGTAAATTCTGAGGTTTTGTAAGGATTTGTAAGAAAATGTTTGCGGGAACTGACTCAGTGTTGTTAAACCATAAGTAGGTTTCCTCAAACATTTCATACAAATTCTTCAAAGCTCCTACTGTGATCACAGAAACTTTAATAAAGTGAACCATGCAGGCTTACTGTCTCGCCATTTACTGCACATTTGTCGGCAACTCAGATATCGATTATTTGTTCATGAATCTTCAATCACTTTAATTCTGTTAAATTGTTCATGCAATTTGATTGTATTAGGCACCATTACATTATTTAGTTTGGAAAACTATTACTATGTCTTCATCCTGGAGGTTTAGTAAAGACTATAGTTTACTCTATCAAAGTTTCTGTGATCACAGTAGGAATTTTGCATGGGTAAATTCTAAGTTTTGAAGGATTTGTAAGAAATGTATGAGGGAACTGTTTAACACTGAGTCAGTTCCCCCAAACATTTCTTACAAATCCTTCAAAACTTGGGATTTACCTGTGCAAAATTCCTACTCATGTGATCACAGAAACTTTGATAGTGTCAACCAGACTTAAGGGATGAAAACCTGCATGAGTGCATGTTTGGTAGAGTTTCGAATGTGAAAGGGACAGCTTCGAATGTGAAAGGGACATCTGGTAGCCAATATCATTGTTTGCTGCAAGCGTAGGTGTTGGATAGTGAAATCTGGGACAACATCATTAAACTTCTTCGATCATAAAGGAAGAAGTAGTGATGCCCTGGGCGTTAACGTATAAGCACGTCAGGAAATAGAGCCATGCACATTAAGCCTGGTTCACGCTAGCAATTTTGTCGGCGATTTTGTGACGGATGCAAATGAGTGAACTCGCACATAAAAGTATAGAGTCGCTTTTCAGAAGCAAACAATTCTAAGTCTTTTGCATGTCATTCAATCGATCACATTTGCGAGCAGGAGAAAAATCGGGGACAGAATTACTTGTGTGAACCAGCCTTGATTTGACTCCACGAAACACCTTGGGTTTTATCTCTAGTTTCTACCTGTACCAACAAAGAAAAGAGAGAATAAGCAATGACCCTTTTATTGTATTTCTATGGGGAGAACAGGAATTGATAGACAACGTACGAACTTGTTCATGAATCTAGACCACAATAGGACTTAAGCCCCGGTCAAGCGCGAGAATGAGGTTTACAGTCACGACTTGCCACAGGGGACATTTCAATCTCTACATTAACACAATATCTCAACTATGTTGTAACGTAAATAAAATACATGATAGTCTTGGGAAAGCATTAAGAACAGCTAACCATGCATGTTCACGTGATTGCTCACTCTCGTGCACTCTCATCCTCCTTGGATCCGGCCTTCAAAATAAATTTTACCTAGTCATTTTCTGTCACAGTGAAATTTGAAATAGCAGGCGCACCTAATTTCGCAAGCCCAGCCCAAACTCATTTCTTTTGCAAAGAGTATTAATATATATTCAATATCTTGACACACTGGTGTACTGTTATATTTTAAATGGCTTTTCATTTTCCTTAATGGTCACGGAATGACTTTCGTATCTGTTTTTATTCAGAGTAATTTGATGGGAAGTACTTGGAGCTAAATTTAGTTTTAATGTATTCATGCAGCACACGTAACCATACCCTATACCTGTATTTGTTCTAAGACAGTAGAAACGCGACACAACTAGCGGATTTCTTTTGAATTCAAATTGATATCCGACCGTTAGGACAGGAAAATGATGTCATGAGGAAGAAATAACGGATGACAGACATCATTCGAAACAATATAGCATTGGATGACATTTGATTCCTGTGCCTTAGGAACGTACAGGAAATGAAAGTTTACATTATAATCGATTTGTCACATCAAATATTTGATGAAATTATCAAGAAGAAAGCTTCGGATTGATATAGGGATGCAACTGCCTTGTATTTTTCAAGTATATAGTTGATCCGTTATCCGTATCATTCAATCCGAGCTTTTTTATTTTTGCCATTATATACCCACACTAGCACAGACCATTTGAAGTTATCAATGCCTTTCATAAATCTTTAATCTGTCTGGACAGTATATAGACATTTATAACTCTGTTTGTTTTTCAAGTTAATGAATGCTTAAATTTTAAAGGAACATTTTCTAACTTTAGGAACATTTTCTAACTAACTAAAATTTATTGCATGTGTATAGCTTTATCAGATCTGTTTGAATTATTCTCTGTGCAGGTCCTTATTCAACCCTTATTCCTTATAAACTAACTTTATTTATACTGGATAGCTCAATCAGTTCTGAACTGTTCTCCCTAGAGGTCCAGTGAAGGTCATCCCTTATATTGATTCAGTGTTACTACAGTAGAAAGCCTAAACTAAACTAAACTAAACTAAACTAAACTAACTAGTTTATTTATGCTGGATAGCTCAATCAGTTCTAAACTTTCTTCCTATAAAGATTCTGTTAATTTGCCTTATAGTATATTAGATGCATGCAATGAATTGTTTTTTTAATTGTAGAGGCTGTTTGAGTTTTCCTTTGGGTAGCTCTATCTAACTAGATCTTTGCAGTTCATGCATTGTCGGCGTATCAATGCGCTTTTTAGTAACGTGTCTTTATTTCACGATTATTATGGAAGATTATTATCTTAATTAGCATAATTAGCATGAATTTCTTTATTTCATAATGAGCATACCAACTTTTACAACTCATTTCTATTTTTGAAAATAAAGATGATCATTTTGTATCGCTCCAGACAAAGGAAGGGAATTCTTTAACTCTGCTAAAGATTATGATTGCTACTTTTATCAGCGTGGAAACAGCTACATATATAAGTTTGAGAACACCAGTTCCTGAACTCATTGATAAAATAAATTCACAAGCTCGACACCTTATATCGTTCTGCTGAAATTGTGCCAAATGAACATCCAAAACAATTTTGGTGTTGAATATCTCTTTATTGCCTGGATTACCGGTTCGTTTTATGTTGTACACTTTAGCTACAAATTGTTTTGTATAGCTCTTTTAGCTAACTTTGGATAGTTCTACTGCTGGATAGTTCTGTCAGTTCTAAACGGTGATCCCGTAAGGACCATCCCAAATATTGGTGCAATGTTACTATATGGAAGGAATCTAAACT